AAATGGTATGATGGCTTATGGAGGACGTCGTTGATGGTGGCAGTCGAGTGTAGGCAGTGTAGAGAGAGTGAGAGAGAGTATTTAGGTTTTGCAGACATGATCAGTTTTGAGTAAGACATACTGACTTGGATCGGTTTTGACAGAGGATCTTTATTAATTTCCACATGGCTTGAGCTAAATTTATCGATGCTTTCAGTCGTAAATTGGGTATCACTACCACTAAAACAATAGCCTTAAGTAATATAAGCAATCATATTAGAAAAGGTTAGAGCGAACAATTTTGTGATTTTAAGATTTGGAAAGCAATTAACAAATTTGAGTGAATAGAAACTCTACTAGATCTTTTTTCTTATTTAATTTTGTGATGTAAAAATTGAGTTTGTGGTCCGTTTTATTTGGTCTTACTCGGTATAAGAATTATTGGAATTAGACCACATTGAAGTAATTTTCTCGTGAATAAAATTGTCCATGTGTGGACGACCTTTCTTTACTGAATTAAGTGGGAAAATTTACATGCTACTATGCGGAAATCATGTGGGATATCATTCTAGTTGTAACAACAAGAACAAATAAGAAACATTAAAGTGTAACATAAAAGAGTTTCTTTTAGCTGCAATATATATAAAAAGGAAATGACACAATAAACAAAAAACATTGCCAATGATGGAACACCTATAGGTGAGCGTGAGAAAATAACACCAAAACAGAGTCCTCTGTTTTTTTAGGCATTTCTTTTTTCCCACTCTCCGATGAAGTGACACCAAAACAGAGTCCTCTGTTTCGACAAAGTAACACCAAAACAGAGTCCTCTGTTTTTCTCTCTCGCTCCAAAATTCTTTTGCCCGCCTTCCGACTCACATGCTATGCTTTTGTGGAAGCCACAAGCAACTCATCCACTTTGAGTCCGTTGGATTGCTAAGTTTTCTGGCCGCAATAAACTCCAAATTCATCAAGATGGGAAATGAAGTTGTAGCCATTGAGAATAGGGTTAATACCATGACAAACCCCAAATTAGTATATAGGTGATAAATTTACTTTAAACTAATTTTTTGACAGCCAAAAACCCCAAACTGGTACACCTGCGATAAATTTACCCTCCATCAGTTTCCGTTAAATTTTACCTTTTATTTTAATTAGTTTCTACCTTTTACTTTTCCTCTTTGCTAGTCAAATTTTCTCCATTATATTTGGGAAACAATGTTTTCTTTCCACGGTTTTCAAAGAAGCACACTATAGCCTAATTAATTAATACGAAGTTGCATAATTATGATGAATACAGTGAGTGGAAAATTTCACTTTAATAAATCAAATTGGACAAAATAAACAGGGTCCCCGTTTATTCTTATCAAAACAAAAGTGATTCACTACCACTTCTTTTATTTTCTGGATTGCCAGCGTATTGAATTATTGTCCCATTAAGTTCCATATCTTTTCATCTGACGAAAATATATCTCGCTTAGGAAAAGTATAATGAAATGCCCAATTTTCCTTTCCACTTCATTGTGCCCTCTGTCTCTTCTTTATGCAAACTCATATATAAGTCAAGTGAAAATTCACCTTCATGACCACAAAGGGAGATCTTTTCTTGGGCAAAATCCATAATTCATTAGATTGCTCATTGTTCCTCCAAGTTTTATTTTTTTGCATGGCCTTACACACAACCATCAAACCCCTTTATAACATAGAAAACACACGATAAAAGCCTTTCCTCAACCAGAAGCTCCGAGGTAGAGCCAAAGGGAAAACAGAAGACACAATACAAACTTTCCACTCATTTTACTCTATCATCACTCAGAAAGGATCTTTTGAGAAAAGCATTTAGGCGCAGACATGGGGGTTGGCCACGAGGTACTCCTCAACAGCCTTGAACAGTCCCATGGCTTTGTCTTTGCCCTTCTTGATTTCCTCCTCCTTGAGCTCGCAACCTTCCTTGACGTGGTACTCGCTGGTCATCTTGCAGACGCATCCGCTGCCAGCCGCGACGAATTTCACTTCTTCCACGACGCAGTCGATCTTGTCGAACTTGATGTCGGTTTCGATCATGGTATATTTGCAGTAAAAGTTACCTGCGTCAAGAGCATCGATCTTGTGCTTCGTGTACTTGATGTGGGAACCTGTATGTAAATTCATTAAAGTGAAGAAGTTAGATCTTAATTCCGAGGTTATATACAAGACTAGATGGGGTAGAAGTGCGAGTGTGATCCGACTTACTTTCACCGAAGTTGGTTTTCTTGATGCTACCAACTCCACCATCTCCCTCGATGAACTCAACGCTCTTGATGCCCTCGGGAACAATCATGGGCAGGACGTTGTGGGAGTCAAGGATCATAGCCTTGAACAGCCTCGCCGGCGCGATGACACTTGTGATCTCCTGCGAGTAAGTGACGACCCCCATGTCTGCCTTTTAAGAAACAAAGAGAACTGAACTCAAGAAGGGTAGTGGAAGGGTTTGGTGTGTGATTGCTAAAGGAGAAGGCTTGAGCTGATGAAGATGATGAAGAGAACTAGCTGGTTCTTATAGGCAGTCCAGGGTTTTGTACTCCATCACCACCGTTCAATGTTCAAAGCATGTCGACCAAAAAAACAAAAAGTTCAAAGCACACCAAGTTGGACTAGCCGGCCTTGATTTACGCCTTTCTTCTTTTCATATTAGACCGAGCTGTCGGTCATCTAGAAGAATTGAAGATGGCCATCGTTATCAAACCCAAAGTAAATTATTACATACAAAAATTATGACATATAACTGCGGGATTATTTGAAGTGACCTTTAATACTTTCACTTTTTTTCAAATCTTGCTTTTATTTTTGGCCTGCAAAATCTTGCTTTGTTCACGATTTAGTTTATGTTTAACATAATTGGCATTTTCTTATCATTTTGCAATCACCTCTCTAAGATAAAGAGTTTTTTTTTTTTGCATAATTCCAAATGTGAAGTCAATCTTCTAATTTTACTGGGGCTGAAAAATGTAAATGTAACGACCCTTTATTTTCTTCCCGTTGAATGACTTAGTTTAACAAGTCATTTTATCATAAGACGAAATTTTTCTTTTTCTTCTTTAATAAAAAGGGGATTTCATGGATTAGTAAGAAAATGAGAAAATTGATTGCGGATAGTCATTCTTTGACCTCAATATATCTAATAATATGTATATTTTTACTATAATCTTTGTAAAAAAAGTGATCGTGGCGCAGATCATAGAGCTCCGACGCCACCGTAATCAAAGCGTGAAATGGACGAGCCTAAATAAGTAAATCCCTTTTTTGCTCCGATTTGATTATACACGGTCCTTTTAGAAAAGACAAATTGAATTTTTTTTAATTTAGAACTGATGTGGACACGACAGTTAGGCTTGATATCAAATTTATTGTCCTTCCGTTCTCCGAAGGCAATTTTGCTAGTTTGACTTTTCAAAATGCCATTATAGCCACGTCATCGAATCCAAATGACTGTGGTCCAAACTTAGATTTTTTTTTTTTGGTCGTAATCCAAACTTAGATTAATCCACAAGAAGACGAACGCCCCTCTTGTGCGACCGTTCTTTTTCTTTTTCTTTTTCTTTTTCTCTTTTAACTTTTTGCTTTGTTCTTTTCTACGTTTTATTTTGTGTTAGATGGAGACTTATTGGCAAAACAAAGATTATTATAAAATGACTGGCTGGCAGGCTGCTACCTTACTTTGCTAGTCAAATTTTATACATTTTATTTTAATTTTTTTGGGCCAAACTTTCTTTATTCTATTTGGCAAGATGGTTCTAATTAAGAATTGTGTTTTGATTTGCCCAATTTTCCCTTGCACTTCATCCATCCCTTTTCCTAAAACTTACAAAAAGTACAATCAACTCTTAAAATTTGCCAAATTAGTACAATCAAGCCTTTTGTTAATTCCATCTAATTTTAGCGGGGAAAATACAATGTGATTTTTTTCTTATTATTTTTGGTGGCTCTTCTATGTTTCGACGACCACCGTCCTTGAAAGCAGGGAACTCGCCTTTCCCAGTGCCTTAGTAGTTTTTTGATTTGTTATATCTCTAACTCTCCTCGCTCTCTTACTTTTGATCTGCCTCTTGCAGAGCGCGGGAGTTGAACCCTACATCTATCATACTAGAGTCCCCGCACCCCAATCTCTGTACTAGCATAACCGTATGCTTATTGGCAAGCACTTCGGTAGTTTTGTGCTTTAGACACTTCGAGTAAGCCACCCGCTACGGTTCATTTCTCCATTTTTGGTGGTCAAGAAGGTCGTGGCCAAGCAACAGCACGGGAGCCAAGGTGCTGCCGTCCAAAGAAGCATTGGCAGGTTTGACATTCTTTTTGTGTTCCCTCTCTTCTCTGTTTCTTTGTTCATTGGATTCTACTCTAGTTCCTTTATTGTGTCTCTTCTGCTTGCGAGATCGAAAGGTTGTAAACTGTCATGCCTTCACCCATCAAGATTTCGTGGGCAAGAAGGGAAACCATAGGAAAAGGCTATGTACTGGTCGATGGACCTTGGTCCTAAGTATGACCTTAAACTACTTTGTCTGAGGCCACATACGGATCTTGGCATCTTTTGGACGGAACAACACAAAAGGGTAGAGCCGGGTACTGGGCTCAAGAAAGATTCGGCCAACTATGGGGGTGCATGGCTCTCTCTCTCTCTCTCATTCTTATCATATATTGTTTTATCCTCTGTTTACTTCTTTTATTTATCTTTCTTTACTTTTCTTTTCTTCCTTACAAAATTTTTAATTTTTTCTAATGTGGCATGTGATGGGTGCCACATATCTTAAGAAAGCAATGAATAGAGCCACGTCAGCATTTTTTGTTAGTTAAATTGGACGGAGTTATAAAACGGGCTTGATTGTACCAATTTGATAAGTACGAGGGCTTGATTGGATTTTTAAAAGTTTTATAACTTAATTGCACTTTTATAATAGGTTTTACCACTTTGTGCTTTTCTTTTTCTAAATTTTCATGATCACAAAGGGAGATCTTCTTTTGGGAAAAATCCATAATTCAGTGGATTACACACAACCATCAAATCCTTTAGAACATAGAAATCACACGAGAAAAACCTTTCCTCACCCAAAAGCTCCGAGGCAGAGCCAAAAAGGAAACAGAAGACACAATACAAATTTTCCACTCACTTCACTGTATCATCACTCGAATGGATTTGGGAAATAGCAATTTAGGCGCAAACATCAGGGTTGGCCACAAGGTACTCCTCAACAGCCTTGTACAGTCCCACAGCTCTGTCTTTGCCTTGCTTGATGTCATCCTCCTTGAGCTCACAACCTTCCTTAACATGATACTCGCTGGTCATCTTGCAGACGCATCCGCCGCCGGCTGCAACGAATTTTACCTCGTAGACGACGCAGTCGATCTTGTCGAACTTGATGTCGCTCTCGATTAAAGTATATTTACAGTAAAAGTTATCTACGTTGAGAGCATCGATCTTGTGCTTCGTGTACTTGATGTGAGAGCCTATTACACGAAATCACGAAAATGAGGAATTCAATTCTAAATTCTGAGGTCTATGCAGAGGCTTCACACGATAGAGATACAAGTATGATCCGACTTACTTTCACCGAAGTTAGTTTGCTTGATGCTGCCAACTCCACCATTTCCCTCGATGAACTCGATGTTCTTGATGCCCCCAGGGACAATTTTGGGAATGACGTTGTGCGAGTCGAGGACCAAAGCCTTGAACATCCTCGACGGGGCGACGGTGGATGTGAAATCTTGAGAGTAGGTGACGACTCCCATGTTTGCCTCGTAAAAAACAAAGAGATGGAACTCAAGAAGGTGACAGAAGGGTACGGTGTGATTGCAATTGAAGAAGGCTTGAGCTGACGATAGTGAAGAAGAGAAGTACTTGGCATTTATAGATGAGTTAGTGTCTTTTGTACTCCATCTCATTCAAAGTTCAAAGCACACCGAGTTGGACTAGCCACCCTTGATACATGCCTTTCTTCGTTTTCTTATTAGGCGTAGCCGTCAGCCTTCTAGAAGAAATTGAAAATGGAAAAGGACATATCCTTAGCAAACCCGTAGTAAATGATTACATAAAACGAATCAGTTGATATTGCTGGTTTATTTGATGTGACTTTAGCTGTCCTTTTTTACTTTCTTTGAAATCTTACTTGGTTCATAATTTGATTTTCATTTGATAAATTTTTTGTGCAATTCCAGATATGAGTCGATCTTCTTGTGTTATTGGTGAAATTAAAAGCTTGAGATTCAATGGACCCTTTATTCTTTTCTTCTTCTTTTGAAATAACTTAGTATATTAAATTGTTTTATCACAAAACAAAATCTCCTATGTTCTTATCTACTAAAAAGTGGATGTTATTGATCAGTAAGAAAATAAAAGGCGCGAAGGGAAAGCGACACTTTAGTGACGAGATGGAGATTCAACTTCTCTCATCAGAATTCTAGCATTTAGAGTATAGCGAAGCTAGCCTATTAAGCGCGGAGTAAGAGCTCTATGCTATCCTTTAATTAATATGGAATTGCGGTCAATGCGGCTTGATTCACTACAGCAAAAGAAAATTCCGAGAAGCAATGCTCGTTGACCCACATATCAGCTCCGGCCGAGAAGAAAAATCTCACATATTGGCATATGATGGTTTGATTTCGTACCGGTTATGATCTTTTCAATCTATTTAAAAAAATAGCCAAACAACGTCGTTAACACGATGTTTATCTTTTCCCTTTTGTGCTCCGATTAAACTTGTTCATCAAGTATAATTTGATGCTTACAAAAAATATTTCTTTAATATCTAAGCACCTTATAGCATACTTGACGAGTAAACATTAGATAGTTTCTAATTAGAATAAAAATATACTTTAATACCTGAAAAATTATTAGAATGCTTTAGCTTTCTCATAATAAAAATAAGGTCATAATAAGTGAGAATTAGCTCGCATTTATATCATGTGATTAAGAAAATTTGACGATTACGGATTGAAAATAAAATAGAAAAAGCTTCATCAGAACTTGATAAATACAACAAGAGACATCTTCTTTTTGGGGGAGAAAATTGAAAATAGTGCAATCTAATTTGTTGTATTGCTCACTTCTCTTTTTGAAGCTTTATTTCCACTTGACCTTACACTCACGACCATCAAATCACTTAGAAGATAGAAATCACACCCCCAAAAAAAAAAAAAAACCTTTTCCTCACGAAACAGCTCCAACCTAGAGCCACAAGAAGAAGAAAAAGGAAAACACAATACAATTTGTCCACTCACAATTTATAGTATCACTCGGAAGGAATTTGAAAATTGAAAAAAAAAAAGCATTTAGGCGCAAACATCGGGGTTGGCCAAGAGGTACTCCTCAATGGTCTTCACCAATCCCGTGGCTTTGTCTTTGCCCTGCTTGATGTCATCCTCCTTCAGCTCACAACCTTCCTTAGCATGGTACTCGCTGGTCATCTTGCAAACGGATCCCCCGTCAGCTGCGATGAACTTCACCTCATAGACGACAAAGTCGATCTTGTCAAAGTTGATGCCACTCTCGATCAGAGTGTATTTGCAATAGCAGTTGTCCACATCGAGAGCATCAATCTTGTGCTTGGTGTACTTGATGGGGGAACCTGTTAGCCAATTCATGAAAAGCAAATAGCATTGAGTTCCGCAATTCGCACATTGTTTCAATATGTGGTTATTCTTCGTGTTTAATCAGTCTTACTTTCGGCAAAGTTAGTTTTCTTGATGCTGCCGGCTCCACCATCTCCCTCGATGAACTCGACGCTCTTAATGCCCTCGGGGATGATCTTGGGGATGACATTGTGCGAGTCGACGATCAAAGCCTTGAACATCCTCGATGGGGCGATGGCGGATTTGAACTCTTGAGAGTAGGTGATGACGCCCATGTTTGCCTCGTGAGAAACAAAGAGATAGAAATGAACTCAAAAGGGTGTAATGTGATTTCTATTAAAGAAGTAGGCTTGAGCTGATGAAGATGAAGAAGAGATCCACTTGGCATTTATAGGCAAGTGATAGCTTGGCACTCCATTCTCATTCAAAGTTCAAAGCACTCCGAATTGGAATAGTCTGCCCTTGCTTATCGGGCGGGCGCAACCACCGGTCATCCAGAAGATCAAGGAAAGGGACACACCGTTACGAAACGAGGAATTTTATAATTTTTGCAAGTGGAAAAGACTTCAACTTTAAAAAATAAAAAATAAAAAGAAAAGGAAGACCCTCATTTTCTTCTAGTCTTCGGGACCCGCAACCATTATCTTTATTAGGAGAAAAATAAGGCAAATGTGTCGATTAGCCTTCATTCCAGATAGACATAGATTGGTCTCCACGTAGACATCGAATAAAGAAAAGATGGACATAGGCCGCCTTGCCGCACCGAAAGGGTGAGGAAAATATTCAAAGCCAATCTAGGAGAAATGAAGTTTTCTAGTGACAGCTCAAGGCCAATTGATTTTGATGGCTAGAGTTGATTTTGACCTCATACATTCTTGGAGCGTAACAGCAGAATGTATTTCAGGTACTCGATACTGGAGGAACGAGTCAAGGCTCCAAATTCTTCGAATTCAAAATCCGTGTTACGTTTCGTCCAGTTTCAATTAGCAATCGGACTAGCGCCAAGTAATTAACGAGTCAGACGGGTCTATAACTCTTACAGATATACCCACGATAATTCGACGATATTAGAGCTTCAATAGAAAAGGCAAACCGTCATCGCACATGAAGAATTACGTTTCCTTCGTGTAGTAGGAATAGGGGAAAATTGTAGAAAAGCCTTAAACCTATTGTACTAAAACCAATTCAATCTAAACATTTTAATTGTGCCAATTTATTCCTAAACATTTCAATTATATCCATTTAGTCCTAAACATTTTAAATATCTGCCAATTTAGTCATAAACCTTCTGACGATTTACCAATACAGTCATTCCGATCAAATATCCAAATAATAGGTTTAGGACTAAATTAACAAACCTTCAAAAGATTTAAAATTAAATTAGCACAATTGAAAAGTTTAAAACTGAATTGGCTACCGTACAATAAATTTATGACTTTTTGGACAACTATCTTGTAGGAAAAGCCTCAAGCGGCTTAAATGTCTTCTGGTTACAAACAAGGAGAGAGAGAGAAACATCTATCTATCATATTGTCATCATATAAGGTCGTAATTTGGCTCTCTTACCACTAGGGATGAGTGGTTCCAAGTTCCTCTCGGAACCTAGAACCCGGAACCTACCAATCGGAACATGGAACGTGGAACTTGCCTCGTCATAGGTTCCAGAGTCGGTTCTAAGATTTAACAGGTTCTTTTCTTTTCTTTTCTTTTCTTTGTTTCATTTTTAGTTAAACAAAACAAATATGAACGCAACAATATTAAACAAGCTTTTTATTCACCAAAGATAACACAAAAGACTAGTTATTGGAAAGCCACATTTTTCTCAACAGAAAGCACAAACATGCTCCCCTCCAAGCTCCTCCAAAGTACAAAAGTGTTTGGTTTCTGGTCATCAAAGCGAGTTGCTCCTCCAAGCTCCTCCACCACCTGCAATACTGAAAGGAAACAGTAAAGACGAAGCTAGAAACTGCTGCAAGGGGTGGAAATATCAATGTCCAATATATGCCTAAATTGTAAGAGCTCTACAATATGAAACTACTCCGACACACTCAAGCCTGCCCCAAGTCGCATTTTGGCATGCATAGCATGAGCATGGTGCCAGTTCAATAACATATTGAGGTCAAAGGCAATAACGCGAATAAACAAGCGAAAACCAGAGGCAATAACAGAAGGAAATCTTGATAAGATCTAATGAACTCAGTTGTGAAGGTCATGAAAAGTCATAAGCAGAAGGGAATTTGAGATTCTGTAAGCCCTGGGACAATCAGACAGAGTTAACAAGGTTTTCGAGAAGTGAGAGAGTTTCGAGGCTGCTGCTGGTCTTCAGGGGAGTGAAAGTGTTGAGAGTTTCTCTCTTCCTAATTGTTCCGGTCCCTTCTAATCCCCGACTTGCGAATTCAATCTCTAAAGCATTGCAGAAGATCATAACTTTCCCCACAAACTTAGCTCCACTACGAGGTCATCTAAGGTAATCCTACGTAATAACAGCACAAAGATGCTCCAAGAGCCAGAAATTTCCCTCAATTCACTCAAACTCGGCTTTCTCTTGTAGGGGTCTATTTACTCTAACTTGGCTCAGCTTAACCTACTTGAGTCAGCGATTAGAGCAACGTTTTCACAGTGCGAGTCAATGAAATTACCCTTTAACCTAACCATCATAATTATTTCAAACAAACTTGGATCAGAATTAAATTGCTTTTACTGGATCTCCATACAAAACTGATTAACGGCAGGTGATGCTTCGATTCCTCCAGGCAGCGCCAAATGTGCGAAACAAACACAATTGCACGGGAATAACTGCTCATATGGACTAAATCGACGCCTAAGGTCTTGAAACCTTCGACGATGTTGGCCTTGGCGGGGTTGGAGAGAGTGGACCAAGAGAGAGAAGCCCTAACCCAGAACTAAACCAACAACAATCGCATCGGCACTCAGCAGCACTAGCAGACCATGGATGACAGCGACCTCAATGGAAATGGCAAGTGCTGTGAGCATCGAGCTCTACCGTCGGCACAAGGTCTTGACCGTTCCTGTCGATTCATGCTTTGCACGTCAGATTTTGAAAACATATGAACAAGTTGTAAAATTGATATGCTTGAGTTTCAGCCCGAACTTTGATGAGCATTGGCGAAGTGATCATACCCTGGTGGTCAGGCATACGAGCGGCGAAGGAGGCCGTGGCCAGGACGTCACTGGGGGAGAGGGAGGAGGGGCGGGGGAGGGAGGGGGCGAGGTCGGGGAAGTTGAGGAAGGTGGAGTAGTTGGGGAATTAGGGATTTTAAGTTTATGAACTCCCCGGTTCTGGTTCTGGTTCCAGTTCCGGTTTCGGTTCCGGTTTCGATTCCGGTTCCGACAATTCTTAAAAAAATAGAGCCGGAACCTCCCTCCCTATAACCAAGAACCGGAGAACCGGTTATCGGTTCTACCCTAGAACCATGTTCACCCCTTCTTACCACACACACCTTGTCTCCTTCCCTCCTGTTTTTTCACAGGCTGCATACGCCTTGGATGTCGCCATTCTCCTACGCTTTTCACTTAAGATCCGCCACCCCCGCCTCCACTTCCAACTCAAATTGCAACTTCATCCTTTTTATTTTGATTTATTCATTTAAGGATTTGGGAGAAGTGGTTAGTGCAATTTTCTTCTCTCTTTTATTTAACCTTAAACGTAAGAAATCTTACACTCACCACGACCATAATCGAATCAAGCCTGATGATATAACTTCTTTACAACAAAATACTTTACGCCGAGGCCAAAACCACGACGTATTACAGTGACCTCCTGTAGATATTGCCATATAAAAAAGATTTTTGATGAATATGGCCAAATTATGTTAGCTTCCTAGGAGGACGTTCGTACTGATTATTCAGGTTGTGCCATTTTCGACTGTTATCAACCCTTTTTTTTCTTTGGGTCTCTTCCGATAAAATTGAAACGGAGAAAATTAATATGACACGAGGACAAAGTGGATGCATGTTGGGGGGGCTTTCATCTATTGGATTTGTTTCTCCTTGGAAAGGTGAAACGAGAACAAAATGGAAAGGAGTTACCCAATGGGCAGCCTTTGACTGTGGCCAAGAAGATGGGCCACGCCTGATTATGGTCAATAGGCATATAATTTGGGGACAAATATTAGAATGCTTTAGCTTTCTTATAATAAAAAAAAAAGGGTCTTAGTAAGTGAGTATTAGCTCGCATTTATATCATGTGATTAAGAAAATTTGACAACTACGAATTGAAAATAAAATAGAAAAAGCTTCATGAGAACTTAACAAATACAACAAGAGATATCTTCTTTATGGGGGATAAAATTGAAAATAGTGCAATCTAATTTATTGTATTGCTCACTTCTCTTTTTGAAGTTTTATTTTCACTTGACCTTACACACACGACCATTTAGAAGATAGAAATCACACCCAAAAAAAAAAAAACCTTTTCCTCACCAAACAGCTCCAAAGCAGAGCCACAAGAAGAAGAAAAACGAAAATACAATACAATTTGTCCATTCACAATTTATAGTATCACTCGGAAGGAATTTGAAAATTGAAAAAAAAAAAAAAAGCATTTAGGCGCAAACATCGGGGTTGGCCAAGAGGTACTCCTCAATGGTCTTGACCAATCCCATGGCTTTGTCTTTGCCCTGCTTGATGTCATCCTCCTTCAGCTCGCAACCTTCCTTAGCATGGTACTCTCTGGTCATCTTGCAGACGGATCCGCCGTCGGCCACGACGAACTTCACCTTGTAGATGATGAAATCGATCTTGTTGAAGTTGACGCCGCTCTCGATCAGAGTGTATTTGCAATAGCAGTTGTCCACATCAAAAGCATCAATCTTGTTCTTGGTGTACTTGATGGGGCAACTTGTTAGTCAATTCATGAAAAGCAAATAGCATTGAATTCCGCAATTCGTACATTGTTTCAATACGCGGTTATTGATCGCGTATAATTAGTCTTACTTTCAGCAAAGTTAGTTTTCTTGATGCTGCCGGTTCCATCATCTCCCTCGATGAACTCGACGCTCTTGATGCGCTCGGGGATGATGACGTTGTGCGAGTCAATGATCAAAGCCTTGAACATCCTCGATGGGGCGATGGCGGATTTGACCTCTTGAGAGTAGGTGATGACGCCCATGTTTGCCTCATAAGGAACAAAGAGAGAGAAATAAACTCAAAAAGGGTGTAATGTGATTGCTACAAGTGAAGAAGTAGGCTTGAGCTGAAGAAGATGAAGAAGAGAACCTCATGGCATTATAGGCAAGTAGAAGCTCGGCACTCCATTCTCATTGAAAGTTCAAAGCACTCCGAATTGGAATAGTCTGCCTTTGCTTATTGGGCGGGCGGAACCACCGGTCATCTACAAGATCAAGAAAGGGACACACCGTTATGAAACGAAAAATTTTACAATTTTTGCAAGTAGAAAAAGACTTCAAATTTAATAAATAAATAAAAAGATAAAGAAAAGGAAGACTCTCATTTTCTTCTAGTCTACGGGACCTGCAACCATTATCTTTATTAGGAAAAAGATAAGGTAAATGTGTCGATTAGTCTTCATTCCAGATAGACATAGATTGGTCTCTACGGAGACATCGAATAAAGAAAAGATGGACATAGGTTGTCCTGCCGTAACGAAAGGGCGAGGAAACAATTCAAAGCAAATCTAGGAGAAATGAAGTATTTAGCGGCAGCTCAAAGCCACAATTGATTTTGATGGCTAGAGTTGATTTTGACTTCATACATTCTTGCAGCGTAACAGCAGAATGTATTTTAGGTACGCGAAACTAAAGGAACGAGTCAAGGCTCGAAATTCTTCTAACTCAAAAATCCACGTTACGTTTTGTCCGATTCCAATTAGCGGTCGGACTAGCGCCAAGCAATTAACGAGTCACACGGGGTCTATAACTCTTGAAAATATTCCCCCGATGAATCGATGATATTTTGGCTTCAAGAGAAAAGGCAATTCGTCGTCAAACATGAAGAATTACGTTTCCTTCATGCAATAGGAAATGGGACAAATTGTCTAAAAAGTCATAAATATATTGTACAATAGCTAATTCAATCTAAACCCTTCAATCGTTCAATTTAGTCATAAACCTTTCGAAAATTTGCTGTCATGTCAATTTAGTCCTAAACCTTTTGAAGATTTGCTAATTAAGTTCTAAACGTGGTCCTTCCTATCAAAAAGTTTAGAACTAAATTGGCAAATTTTCAAAAGGTTTAGGACTAAATTGATACGAAGAAAAGTTTATGACTAAATTTGCAAATCGTTAAAAGGTTTAGAACTAATTAACATAATTGAAAGGTTTATGACTAAATTCATAAATCGTCAAAAGGTCTAGAACTAAATTGACATAATTGAAAGGTTTAGCATTAATTCATAAATCGTCAAAAGGTTTAGAACTAAATTTACACAATCAAAAAATTTGAAATTGAATTGACTATCATACAATTAATTTAGGATATTTTTGGACAATTAGGCCGTAGGAAAAATCTCTTCCGGCTTAAATGTCTTCTGGCTACCGAGAAGGGGGGAGAGAGAGACATCTATCTCTCATAATGTCGTCATTTGGCTTGCTTACGACACACCTTGTCTCCTTCCCTCCTTTCTTTTCACAGGCTGCGTACGCCTTGCATGTCGCCATTCTCAAGCGCTTATCACTCAAGAATTCAAGATCCGCCGCCCCCGCCCCACTTCCAACTCAAGACGCAACTTCATCCTTCTTTTGATTATTCAATTAAGGATTTGGGAGGACTGGCTAACGCGATTATCTTCTTCTTCTTTTAACCTTAAACGTAAAGAAACTTACACTCACCACAACCATAATCAAATCGAGCCTGACAGTATGACTTCTTCACGACAATGGAATTACATCGAGGTCAAAATCACGACGTATTATAGTGACCTCTTGTAGATATTGCCATAGAAAAAGGATTTTCAATTAATATGGCCAAATTATGTTAGCTTCCCAATAGAATGTTGGTACCGATTATTTAGGTTGTGCCATTTTCGGCTGTTATCAATCTTTTTGTTTTCTTTGGGTCTCTTTCAATAAAATTGAACTGATACGAATAAAATTAATAGGGTTAATATCACGAAAAACCCTAAACCGGTACACTTGTAACAAATTTACCACAACCTAATTTTTTTACCACAAAAAATCTCAAACTTATACACCTATAACAAATTTACCCCAAATTAATTTTTTGACTATCAAAAGCTCCGAACTGGTACACTCGTAACAAATTTACCCTCCATCAAATCGAATTAATACCAAAAAAAATCACAAATTTGTAAACACTCCCAAAACTTGTATACCAGTCAACTGCCACATGTCATTCAACTCAGCAATTTGACTGTAAAATTTAACGGAAACTAACGAAAAGTAAATTTGTCACAAGTGTACCAGTTTGAGATTTTTAAGATGTGTTTGGATTAACCTGCACTTAATCAAAATTTGTTGTGCACACAATTTAACTCGTTTCTTATCTACAACCTTAAACTTTCACAATATATAAATGTTGGAAATATTGCACCAACAATCATAAAGATTTGGCCAAGTATGCAATCAAGTCCTAAACACTTGAATTTGTGCAATCAAATCCAAAATGTTTTTTTAATCGGGTGTAATTTGGTCCTTTTGGCGAGGTCATGGTCAAATTTGATGATTCGGCACTACGGAATTTGAGGTGGCATTTTTAGATTTTTTTAGCACACGTAGTGCTAAAGTGGCACCACAAAATAATAATAGAAAAGCCAAAACATAAAGTTAGGGGGAAATGGAAAAAAAAAAAGCAAAAAAAATGAAGAGAAAAAGAAAAGTAAACAAAATCAAAATTGGTGAAAAATATTGAGATGCAAGTGTGAGCTGTATTAGAGAAAGAAATCTCACATTAAAAAAAGAAAAGTTAGTATGGTGTGGAGCGGTTAATAATTCTAGTTGCCCATAACTCATTGAGTTTAGCTTTGAAGTGAAGATTAGTCCAACTGAATATATTGGCAAACTCGAACTTAGACCTTGTATCAGATTTTTTGCTGTGCATTCCTAACAAGAGAAGTACCATGGATGAATGTGTCACCCCCACAGAGCCGACGGGGGTCAGGATTATCTTTTATATTTTTCAAAATTCATATGACATTATATTTCTTAGCACGAAATTAAACATCACTTTTTATTTATAATTAAGTGTAAACAATAAGCTTTTAAGTAAAGTACATTAAAATAATTGTAGGAAGCATGAGGAAACAAAACAACTTTTAATGTACCATTAAATCACATAAAGATATTAAAGTTCATAGAGTTTTTTGAAGTGACTCGTTTTGATTGAATCATCATCGATTTTTGAGTCTTCGAAGCATCATTCCCTGTGGACTTTTTCTTGAGCGTAATTGCAATTACCGGCAGAGAACTGTTGTATTTTCACAGACTAATTGCCCTTAACTGCCCCTTTTGAGCGGAGAATGTATACATTGTCTCGGTGTGTTAATAAAAAGATTAATATCACGAAAAATTTCAAACTAATACGTCTGTGACAAATTCAGTCCTTCCGACAAATATTGGCTGATGTGGATGCCAATCGTCTTGCATGATACAGTCGGTGCTGATTTGAATAATTTTTACAATTTAAAAAAATTTTCGTTTTTTTCTTTTTTTTTATTTCTTTGGCGATGGTCGTCAGCCACTGGACAAGGGCCAGCAAGCCCTCATCGGTCACTAGCAAGGCTCGCCTCACCTATGGCCGGCAAGTGGGCGAAGGCCCCAGGTGAAGACCTTCGCTCCCTCGCTCGCGGCCGGCAAGGCAGATGTGAACTCTTGAGAGTAGGTGATGACTCCCATGTTTGCCTCATGAGAAGCAAAGAGAAGCGAACTCAAGTAGCAAATAGAAGGATCTGGTGGGGTGCGATGGTCGAAGGCCTGAGCTGATGAAGATGATGAAGAGAGCTCCTCGATAGTTAATAGGCAAGTCCATAGTTCAGAAGCACACCCAATTGGACCGAGCCGAACTACTTTCAAAGCCTTTCTTCTCTTCTTATCGGAAATTTGGGAGGAGCCACCGATCATCTAGAGGTCAGGAAAGGACCAATCACGAATATTTTAATCATTAGGTGAATCATCTTGTTTAATCGGAACGAAAAATTGGATGAAGTTAGATCGTTATATAAAATTCAAGATATGGCTTTCGATAATAACATCGACGATACCTTCTTACATCTAAAGAGGGTCAGTGTCTGAGCTCGAGCACAAGAAACCGACGACATTCCAATAACCATTCTTTAGTGCCAATATATCGAATTAAATGTATATTCCTTGTCCTAACTAATTTTTTAACATAGCGGTGATTGTGGCACTATCGTTCCTGTCATTGAGCTCCAACGCCACCAAAATCAAAGCATAGAATGGGTGAGTCTAGATAAATCAATCCCGTTTTCGGCTCCGATTTGCCTGCATACGATCTTTTCCGTAAAGAAAATTGAACTCTTTTCATGTTATAAGCTGATTTAGACACGAATTTTAGGCTTATACTGGACCACAATGACCACCATTGTTAAGGTTGTAAGAATTTCCTAATGTGGGCTTCATTAATTGAAATTAACTGAATTAGTTTGGTCTAATAAAGGTAAGATATATGGGTTCTTAATAAGTCTAATATGGGACTGGCTGGTGTGGGCCGAGTACGGCCCGGCCCGTAATGAGAGGGCCCGTGGTCGAAGACTCTATAAATAGCGCTCAAGTCCCTCCCCTAACCTGATAATGCACAATTTGACTCACATACGGATTTAGAGAGAACTTTCTTCTCGTGAGTGGCAATCTCATTAGGCCAGTGTTCTAACGAAGGGATAGGGGAGAAGCATTTGAGTTCGTGTTCGGAAACCGTCGCAAATTCCGCGTCAAGTTCGATGGATTCCAAACCAGGTACACGAATCTACAATTTCTCCATTATCGTGTTTCGGTTTCTAATTATGGTGATCCTGGGCGTGCCATTTTCGTGGCCTACATTTGGTATCAGAGCCTGCCATAGATTAGAACTGAAACATACGGATTAGGACCGTTTTAGTTTTGTCCGAGAGATTTTTGCCCAGTTTCGAAATTTTTTGTAGGATAAAAGTTAAATTTTATTATATATTTGGAATCTATTCGTCGAGACGAGAAGAATGGTGGGCGGATCGTCGGCGGAGGAGGCCGGACGC